AGTGGCATTATTCTTATAAGTGGTGTGATGGATAACCTTGGTTGTCAATTTGGCTGCATCTGGAATCAGCTAAAACCCAAACTGCACAGCACTCTTGTGAGGGATATTTCAGAATATTTGAAGCAGAAAGACACACCCTAAATCTGGCCCATACCTTCTGGCGGCAGCCCACATAAAACTACATGGAGACGGCTTTTCGCCTGCTTACACTCTTGCTGGCAAGTCCGTCTAGCTTGTGGATGTAGCTGGTATTAAAAATCCAGCTTCTTCAGGGTTCCAACCTAGACTACAAAACAGCGGCTCCCTGGGAATCCTTCAGAATTCTGGCACCAGCTTGGGACTGTAGAGAGATGAAGCCTCGTGGACTAAACAATGACTGGATTTAAGCTTTTCTGTCATGAGACAGCTATTGTTGGGCTAGCCAGACACATCCTTTAAACTGGTCTAATAAGTCCCCCCTTTTCATATNATGTCGGGTCACAATGTCAAGAGGTTAGACACCTCTGGTAAACTAAGTTTAATAAATGTGCTTTTATGATACACACATTCTATTGGTTCTGTGCCTTTAGATAACCCTCAGAGATGCAAATGGTAATATCGGACATGCAACAAATTTCTGCAGAAAAGAAATGTACTAGACTCCTTTTCCCCATCAGGTTTTTTATAGTCCTTCTTTTAATTTTTTTTGGGGGGGGTTCGAGACAGGGTTTCTCTGTAGCTTTGGAGACTGTCCTGGAACTAGCTCTTGTAGACCAGGCTGGCCTCGAACTCCCAGAGATCCACCTGCCTCTGCCTCCCAAGTGCTGGGATTAAAGGTGTGCACCACCACCGCCCAGCTATAGTCCTTCTTTTAAGTATGGTTTTATATGTCATGTCTTCTACACAAACAAGATTCTGACCAGTTTGCCTTGGTCTTTTGAAGAATCATAGATGTACAAGTGACTTGAAAATGGTTTAAATCAGTACTCAGATGTATATACCACTCTTGGGCATATGCCCAAAGGATCTACATAGTAACACAGAGATACTTGCTCGTCCATGTTTGCTGCTGCACTATGTTTAATAGTCAGAAATCGGACACAACCTGGATGCCCACCAACTGATGAATGGGACATTATTCAGCAGTTAAGAAAAAATAAAATTATGAAATTTGCAGGTAAATGGATGGAGCTAGATTTCTCTTACATGTGGGTGTTAGCTTTGAAGGTTTCAACATGTGTGCTTCAATCTGAATAACCACAGAAGATAGATAAATAGTAAAAGATCAGGAGGGAAAGGGGAATCTTTCAAGGGAGGGAAAATATGATATTAGTGTTATAAAGAGATAAGGAGGAAATGAAAACCAGAGAATTAAATGAAGAGAGGAATATGAGATCAGGGTAAGAAAGGGATTATGGGGAGGGACAACTAACATCAAGGGCCTTTTGAAAGGCCACATGGAAACCTACTAATGTGTAATCTTCCCAAATATATATGTATACGAAGGAATTTAAATATACACATAAACGACAGGAATTTAAATGAAGTCGGCATTTAATAAGGGAGACAACGGCACAATTGAATATATGCCACCAGGTAAAACCTCTAGTGCTAGGAATGGGCTACATCTTGTTGAGTCATTGGCCAAGGTGTTACCATGACCACCACCCCCTAACTATTGGTTGTTTTCCACAACCTGTTGGTAAGGCCCTGTTGTTGAAGACACCACTGACTTGTGTCATTGAACATGCATAAATTGAGCTGGTGTCTCACTATAAGTTTCACCCCTACTGATCAGTGTTCGTGCTGCCGGAAGGTCCTCTGCATGTTACCAGAAGAAAAATGTATTCATCAATATCACCTAATTCTGAATCCTGTGACCTACAACCTACCTGCAAGATATGCTGGTGAAACTGTGACGGAAATGTTATGGGAGTAATAAAACACTTTTTTATTGTATCTAGGACCTATTCCAGAGATGGAACCCATACCTAACAATGATAAAGTGACCAAAAACCTGAGACTAGATAGGTCATAAGTCTAGGGGGAAACCTACTAAATCATTCTTCTAAAGAAAAATAGTAATAAAATTACTCCTAAAATGACATATTGTTACAGCCATAGATGAGTGCATCACTCAAGCCCTCAACCCTCATCAAAGAAGCTTCTTGTGGCAATAGAGGAGGATTAATACAGACACCCACTAGTGAACTATGTATAGAGAGTGAGAAACTATGTCAGCTTCAAATCTCTCCCTTCAGGCTTCAGGGATCTATGTGAAAGAGGAAGCGGAAAGACTGTCAGAGGTAACCAGAGGTTGTGGATGGCCTCTAGGAAACTGCTCGAGGCACAAAAGGGTGATACACATAGGAGCATGCACAAGACCTACTCAGGTTCCCCACCAAACTCCCAGCACTAAGGAAGGGAGGTGCACACAAAGTCTCATCCCTAACCAAGAGGCTATTTACAATTGACGCCTGCTGGGAAAAGGAAGAGAGCCTTTTCCAATGGAGTTTCAACAAAGTTCAGGAAGGACTCCAAACCCAGGAGAAGTTGGTCAACACAAAACAATTCTGTGGTGGGGGGAGGGTTGGGGGATACTTTTGGGTTTGGTTTGATTTCCTTTAATTTGGTTGGTTTGAGTTTTTAGTAATTTTTGTCTCACGTTTTTTTATTTGCTTGGGTTTTAGTCTTTTGTTTGGTTTGGGTTTTTCTTTTTTAGAGAGAGAGAACATTAAGTTGGGTGGGTGTGGAGGTGGGAAGGACCTGGGAGGAGGAGGAGGAGGGGAAATTTTGATCAAAATATATTGTATGGGGGAAAAACAAAAACAAAAAGAACTTGGTAGTTATTGATCATTTAAAACAAAAAAAGATAGCTCTGTAGTATAGTTTGAAGTCAAGGATTGTGAATCCTCCCAAAGTTCCTTTATTGTACAGAATTGTTTTGGCTATCCTGAGTTTTTTCTTTTCCAAATGAAGTTGAGTATTGTTCTTTCTAAGTCTGTGAAGAATTTTGCTGGGATTTGATGGGGATTGCATTGAATCTGTAGAATGCTTTTGATAAGATTGCCATTTTTACTGTGTTAATTTTGCCTACCCAAGAGCATGGGAGATCCTTCCAATTCCTGGCATCTTCTTCAATTTCTTTCTTCAAAGATTTAAAGTTCTTGTCATACAGGTCTTCCACTTGTTTGGTTAGAGTTACTCCAACATATTTTATGTTGTTTGTGGCTATTGTGAAGGGGGATGTTTCTCTGATTGCTTTCTCAGTCCATTTATCATCTGTACAAAGGAGGGACAAGCTCTCCTATAACAGAGCTACAGTAATGAAAACAGCCTGGTGAAAACAGACAGGAGGACCAAAAGAATCAAATTGAAGACCCGGATATCAATCCACACACCTAGGAACACTTGATTTTTGACAAAGAATATAAAATGGAAAAAAGAAAGCATATTCAACAAATGGTGCTGGCAAAACTGGATATCAACATGTAGAAGAATGAAAATAGATCCATATCTATTGCTATGCATATAACTCAAGTCCAAATGGATCAAAGACCTCAACATAAAACCAACCACACTGAACCTTATGGAAGAGAAAGTGGGAAGTACACTTGAATGCATTGGCACAGGGAACCACTTCCTAAATATAACCCCAGTAGCACAAAAACTGAGAGCAACAATTAATAAATGGGACCTCCTGAAACTGAGAAGCTTCTGTAAAGCAAAGGGCATGGTCAACAAGACAAAATGTCAGCCTACAGAATGGGAAAAGATCTTTACCAACCCTACATCAGACAGAGGGCTGATCTCCAAAATATACAAAGAACTCAAGAAATTGGATACCAAAAGAACACATAATCCAATAAAAATGTGGTATAAACCTAAACAGAGAACTCTCATCAGACAAATTTAGAATGACTGAAAGACACTTAAAGAAATGCTCAACATCACTAGTCATCAGAGAAATACAAATCAAAACAATTCTGAGGTTCCATCTTACACCTGTTAGTATGATCAAAATCAAAAACATTGATGACAACTTATGCTGGAGAGGATGTGGGGTAAAGGGAACACTCCTCCATTGCTGGTGGGAGTGCACACTGGTACAGCCCTTTTGGATATCAGTATGGTGATGTCTCAGAAAATTAGGAAACAACCTTCCTCAAGACCCAGCAATACCACTTTTGGGTATATACGCAAAGGATGCTTAATCATACCACAAGACCATGTGCTCAACTATGTTCATAGCAGCATTGTTTGTAATAGCCAGAACCTGGAAACAATATAAATGCCCCTTAACCAAAGAATGGATAAAGAAAAGGTGGTGTATTTACACATTGGAGTACTACTCAGAGGGAAAAAATAATGGCATCTCGAAATTTGCAGGCAAATGGGTGGATCTAGAAAACATTATATTGACTGGGGTACCCCAGACCCAGAAAGACAAATATAGTATGTACTCACTCATAAGTGGCTTTTAGACATAAAGTAAAGAAAAACCTGCCTACAAATCACAATCCCAGAAAAGCTAGACAACAATGAGGACCCTAAGAAACACACACATAGATCTAATCTACATAGGAAATAGTAAAAGACAAGATCTCCTGAGTAAATTGGGAGTGTGGGGACCATGGGAGAGAGTAGAAAGGAAATGGGGAGGAAGGGAGGGGAGCAGAGAAAAATATATAGCTCAATAAAACAATGAAAAATAAATCTTGAAAAAACAAAAACAAAAAAGATATGTGGTTTAAACCAAAATTTAGGAAACCCTAAAAAAAATCCTTTCAATATTTTATTGAAAACGTGTTTTCTTAGTATTTCAATAAAACTCTGTGTCTGGGAAAGGCGGAAGTGGAGGCCGGAGCCTGGGACACCGCTGGGAGGGAGAGGAGCGGAGTCTGTAGGAGCCCCTACCCAAGTAAAGCTGCGGCTCTGGAGCCGTGTTGAAGGCCTCCTTCCCCTTTAGTGCCTCTTTACATAGCACCGGCCCCACCCCCACGCTCATTAGTACTGCTACCTAGCATCAGCGGGCCATGGCTGGTCGGGGAGGTGCAGCACGACCCAATGGACCAGCTGCTGGCAACAAGATCTGTCAGTTTAAGTTGGTCCTCTTGGGGGAGTCTGCAGTGAGCAAATCCAGCCTTGTTCTCCGCTTTGTCAAGGGACAATTCCACGAGTATCAGGAGAGCACAATTGAAGCGGCTTTCCTCACACAGACTGTCTGCTTAGACGATACAACGGTCAAGTTTGAGATCTGGGACACAGCTGGACAGGAGCGATATCACAGCCTGGCCCCCATGTACTATCAGGGGGTCCAAGCAGCCATCGTGGTCTATGACATCACCAACACAGATATATTTGCACGGGCTAAGAACTGGGTGAAGGAGTTACAGAGGCAGGCCAGCCCCAACATCGTCATTGCACTGGCAAGTAACAAGGCAGACCTGGCTAGCTAGAGAGCCGTGGAGTTTCAGGAAGCACAAGCCTATGCAGATGACAACAGTTTGCTGTTCATGGAGACATCAGCGAAAACTGCAATGAACGTGAATGAAATTTTCATGGCAATAGCTAAGAAGTTTCCCAAGAACGAGCCCCAGAATGTAGCTGGTGCTCCAGGCCGGAACAGAGGTGTGGATCTGCAGGAGAGCAGCCCAGCCAGCCGGAGCCAGTGCTGCAGCAACTGAGCCCCCTTGCCTGCCACTGCCCCCACTCCTCCACCAGAATGACCCGACTGGAATCCACTCTAACCAATCGCACTTAACGACTGGTGCCACCACTGGGGGCAGGGGAGGAGTCCATCATCAATTCTCTGCATAACTTTGATCCTAGGCCGAAGGGAGTTATTCCACCTGCACCTTTCTGTACAAATACTAATTCAATTTTAAGTCTTAAGTCACTTTTTTAATATATATGATCTTCTGCTCTTCCCAGTCCCCTTTCTGCTGCTCTTCCTCTTGCCCTTTGCTGGTAGTAGCTACGCTCCTGAGCCCCTGGTCTGTGGGGACAGGGGTTGGAGCAGTTACCCTTTCTTTCCTTCTTGCTGGAGAGCAGACTCAGCAAGAGCACCCACATCTTACCTTGCTGGGAGTGGTCTTGGTCCCAGGACAGTGGATAGGCCCTGGGCTGGGGAAGGGACAGGCGGCGCTTCCCTCAGCTGGCTGCAGCCCCTCCCCATCTGACTCCCAACTGGGAGATAAACCATTGCTTAAGCATCATTTGTGACAGCTACACACTATGGCCCAGGACCCCTCCACCCTTGGTCACCCTGACCTCTGGCTCTGAGCCCTGTTCTGACCAAATCACGATGATGAGTATTGGGGGGGGGGTGAGAGGGAATGGAACCAACTTTTTCTGTATTTTGTATTGTATGTTTCCTTCAACATGTAACCAATCAGTATCTTGTCAATATAGTCAGCAGATAGATCGACCTCAAAAAAAAAAGTCTGTGTCTGTTTTTAGAAACATCCTGAGTCACCTTGGTCATTATAGATACTATTTTATCATTAATTTGGCTTCTACAAGTTCATTGCTAATATATATTATTTATTTACATATTTAATGTAATGTATATTAGCGATAAATTTGTAGAATAAAGTAATATAATATATAATTTATATAATATATTAGATATATACTTTATACTCATATATTTGTATATTAGTTATATAATATTATATAATATATGTAATTTCTGTGCCAAAGTGAATAGAAAGCAAGTAAAGTGTTATTTATGATTTATATTAGCTGATGTATTTTATAATTATATGAAATGCGTTTGGGCAGTGACTTAAACATCAGTGAACATTCCACTAATTAACAAAGGTTATGAGAAGAAAGCGGGTGGTGGCACACGCCTTTAATCCCAGCACTTGGGAGGCAGAGACAGGAGGATCTCTGTGAGTTCAAGACCAGCCTGGTCTACAAGAGCTAAGTCCAGGACAGGCACCAAAGCTACACAGAAAAACCCTGTCTCGAAAAACAAGAAAACAAAACAAAAACAAAAAAAAAGGTTATGAGAAGATACAAGGAGAAAGCCTGAATAACCTCAGTGCACAAAGTTGGGGTATAAGTGAGTTTCCACTGCATAATTCTCAAAGGTAAATTACTGGGAAAGAACACATAATTTTATATGTTAATTACACATTTCTGAATAGCTTCCAGGAAAAGAATTAATATGTATTTGGCTTTTGGATAGCAAAGGCTATCTCTAGCATTACAAACAATGGAAAAATAATAGTAGAAAAGAATGTAATGGTTTACATTTTCCAAATAAAGTATTTATAAACAAGTCTAATTATAAATGCTTTAGTCCCTAAATATACTTTTCTGAGTTCCTTAGAAAAAGGAATTTGGCACAAAAAATGCTATGTGAAAATAATTGTAATAGAATGTTGTGATAATAACAAGTCTTGAATGACATCTATTACTTAAAATTGTGTGTGTTTGTATGCATGTATGTGATGATTGAATTGGATGACTGAGGGGAGGCGGACACAAACAGCCATCCCTAATCCAGACGCTATCTCCAGATAACCACTCCCAAAGGAAAATTTCGCTTTCTCCGGTGGAGTCTAATTGGACATATAGACCACACTTAAGGGCAGACCCCATGTCTAATAGTAGATAACCAACACAAAACAAATTTAATGATCTTTTTAAGGTTTTTTTTTTTTGGTTGTTGTTGTTTTCTTTGGTTTTTTTTTGTTTGTTTGTTTGTTTGTTTGTTTTTACTCATAATGCATTCTCTGGGCATTTTTTTTTACTTTACAGGTATTTTGCATATATATATTATGGCTTTCTGTTTTGTGTTTTTATGGGATTTCTTTTTATTTATTTTTATATGTATTGGCATTTTGCCTGCTTGTATGCTATGTTACGGTGAAAGATAGCAAAGTTACAGACAGTTGTGAGCTGCCATGTGGGTGCTGGGAATTGGACCCAGGTCCTGTGGAAGAGCAGTCAGTGCTCTTAACCACTGAGCAATCTCTCCAGCCCCTTTTATGGGATTTCTGAGTGTGTAAATGTATGTGGCTCTGTGTCTATATTTGTTTATCATACTATTTCTCTCTTCTTTCTGTTCGTTTTGTCCTATTCTGATTTGTTCCTTTTTATTTTGTCTTATTTTTTAGATGCTTGCTTGTTTTCTAAAGAGAGAACGAGAGAGAGAGAGTTTGTGAATTTGGGTGGGTGGGCAGATGGGGAGGGTCTGAGAGATGCTGGGGGAGGGAAACCAGAATCGGAATATATTGTATGAAAACAAATCTATTTTCAATTAAAAAAGAAAAATTCCTTCCATATTTTCAAACGTTTTCTGTTCATAAAATTAAATCTAGACATGTTATATGTTTGAGTCTGTGATTACTTTTCTGAATTCACCTACACATTTATTAAAAATTAATGTTTCATTTTTCTCAAATTAAGTGGGTCATAGGTTTTAATTTTCATAGTGAGAACACTAATGGTCTTTAATCATATTACAAATATCTGAGGATGAATGGATAGATGATAGATAGATAGATGATTTATTTCATGGACATATGGAAGATGGAGTCTGTTTTATAAAATGTCTAGTAAGATAGAAAAATTGCATCCCAACTTTGTGCATTGAGGTTCTGCTTGCAGGTTTCTTCTCTTCGTGTCTTCTGGTGACCTGTACTTACTAGTAGAGTGTTCACTGATATTTATTTAAAGCACTGCCCAAATGCATTTGATATAGCTATCGAGTATATCAATAATGTCAATTTGAAACTCGGCAAGATAATGCATTCCTTTAGTCCCAGCACTTGGGATGCACAGGCAGGCAGATTTATGAATTTGAGGTCAGCCTGGTGTACAGAACTAGTTTCAGGACAGGTAGAGCTACACAAAGAAACTCTGTCTAGAAAAATCTAAATAAATAAATAAATAACGTGAACAGTAAATAAGCATAGCACTTTGCCTCCTTCATTCATGTTAACACTAAAAAGTGTGTGTGTGTGTGTGTGTGCAATGAACTCATGGAAACCAAAATTAATGATAGAATAGTATTTATAGTGACTAAAATGTGAAATAATATATGTGTCAATTAACAATATGTACAGGACTTCTATAGTAATACCCCCCCACGAAATCTTAATATAGAAATGAAAGGAGAACATAGTAAATGAAGTAACATACTGGGTTACAGATTAGAAGTGCTGAATAAGTAAATAAATATTAATTTTATGTAAATTTATACACAGTTTGAGTGAAATTTCTATCAAAATTCAAGCAAGATGGTGTTTATATATTGACAATATTTTTCCAAACTATGCAAAAAGATAAAAGTATAGAATAATAGGATAACTTGGGGAGAGAAGAAAAATAGACTGAGAGAAATTATTCTACTTTGAGTAAACACAGAACAATGGCATAGGATGGAGGACATAGACATAGCTTCACATCAATAAAGCCAATTGATTTTTGACAAACTGTAAAACTGAGGCAATAGAAAATATCTTTAAATAAAACTGTGTTGTGGTGATTGGCTATCTATAGCTCTAACTTCCCCCCAAGCTAAGGGAAAAACAAACCTCAACATAAACTTCATACCTCAAACAAAACTTCAGACGAGATCCTGTGCTTTCTGGGTGCTGCAGTCTGTGCGGTCTCCTATAGGCATCTGTGTTTGTGTACTTGGTCCCCAGTTGGTGGCGCTGTTTGGGAAGGTTAGGGAACCTTTAGGAGGTGGATGGACCTTTGCTTAATGGCTGACAAGCATTATAATTAAAACTGGAAGACTTCTGGAAGATAAGAGGAAAAATTCTTCCTACCCTCGATATTGTTGAAGAGCTCTTAGAAATGACATAAAACACCCATTTTTCGCTTGTTTTTATGTGTTCGTTTGAGTCACAGTCTCACCATGTAGCTAGTCTTGAATTTACACTTCTCTAATCTCACCTCTTGAATACCGGAATTATAAACTACAATCCTTTAAAAATAATCAACAAATTGGACTTCCACGAGATTCAAATTTTTGCTTTGCAAAAGACTCTACTATAAGAATAAAAAGAGGGGGCTGAAGAGATTGCTCGGCAGTTAGTGCTTGCTGCTCTTCCAGCTGAATCAGGTTGGCTCCCATCACCCATTGAGCCATCTGTGAATACGGCTTCAAGGGACCAGACATCCTCTTCCAGCACCCATAGGCACCTTCACACACAAGAAAGGAAGGAAGGAAGGAAGGAAGGAAGGAAGGAAGGAAGGAAGGAAGGAAGGAAGGAAGGAAGGAGAAGGGAAGGGAAAGGAAAGGAAGGGAAAGAAAGAAAAGAAGAAAGGAAGGAAGGGATGGAGGGAGGGGTGGAGGGAGGAAGGGAAGGAAAGGAAGAAAGAAAAGTTTTTTAAATGAGGCTAGGATAAGCTATAAACAGAAAAATGCAAACCACATATCTGACAACTCATTAATAAACTGAAAAAGTCAATATTCAACTTTAAAGATTAATTAGCTCATTACTTCTTTGAATGTGTGTATATGTGTGTGCGTGTAAGCATGGCAAATGTGTGTAGTATATGTGTTCATTAGTGTGTAGGAACATACATCCATGCGCTCACAGAAGCCAACAATGCCAGGTGCTTCCTGCAAAGTCTTTCAGTAAACCTACAGACAGGAAGATCCAGCAATCCTCCTGTCTCCATCTGAATAACAGATGTGCATAGCTACATTCAGCTTTTTACATGTGTGCTAGAGATTTTAACTCAAATTATCATGCTTGCACGGCAGCGCTCTTACCAAGATCCAGCATATTTTATAAAAGCAATAAAACAATCCAATTAGAAAATGGATAAAAATAAACATTTTATTAGAAAGGAGATATGGGTGTGAAATTATCGCACAAAAATATTCAATATGGTTAACCATCAGATAAATGTCCAGTAAAATCATGGTGAACTATTGCTACACACTATTGCTAAAACTTCCGACTACAGATGCCACCAAAGAGTTGTAGAAACTGGACCACTCCTGTGTGGTTAATGAATGTAAAATGGAAAGATCTGTAGCTTCCTTGTAAAACTAACACACACTATAAGACCCAGAAATTGTTCTGTTGGACATTTAACTCAAAGGAATGGAACTCTGTTTACACACAGACACACACAAACGTTAAAAAAAGAAAAAGAAACGATATTAGGGGCTAGAGAA